CCCTAAACCCTAACCCCTACATCCTACACCCTCAAGCAAAGAAGCCTTAAGAATCCGCCAAGGCCGAACTCCGCAAAGTCCTAAACCCCAACCTTTAAAGCAACGCAGTCCTAAACCCCCACCCCTCCCCCTTTCAACACAAAAAGGAACGCTGAAAAGCTCAAAAAGGCTCCAAGACCGTGCATGCTCCAGGTTCTGCAATTCTTCGCGAAGCTGCCGTACGAGCCATGACTATAGTTTACATTAGTGTAGTATAGTGTAATATAGTGTGGTATCGTATCGATTAGTATGCTATAGTATGTTATAGTATAGTATAGCACAGTATAGTATAGTATAGCATAGTATAGTATAGTATAGTATAGTATAGTATAGTATAGTATAGTATAGAATCGTATGTTATAGTAAAGTATAGCATGGTATACTATAGTATAGTACAGTATAGTATAGTGATAGTATAGTATACCATACTATAGTTGACAACCGTACACTATAGTATATGAACTTGTTGTATATGAATGTATACTATGATTGCGGTACTATACTACAGTATACTGTGAAGCTTGTAGTGTATGAATGAATCTAATATTGATTCGGCGGATGTCAGGGTGAGGCCTGCAAACCGATCCTAAATCGCCAAGCCTGAAGCCGAACTTGATGTTGGGAGGGATTTTGGGAGGGATTTTGGGGTGGGTGTCCAGGGTTTACGGCCAAGCCGCAGCTTTAGATTTTGGGGGTATGTTTGCTTATGGCCCTAGGCACCCCCATCCCCATCACCATCACCATCATCGTCATCATCACCGTCATCATCAACATCGTCGTCATCATCATCACCACCATCGTCATCATCATCTTCATCACCATTATCATCATCATCATCATCACCACAATCGTCATCATCATCATCATCATCAACAACACCATCATCATCGTCATCTTCATCACCAATACCGTCATCAACATCGTCACAATCGTCATCTTCATCATCACCATCATCATCATCATCATCATCACCACCATCGTCACCATCATCATCATCACCATCATCATCGTCACCACCACCATGCCCATCACCATCATTATCATCATCATCACCACCATCATCGCCATTACCATCACCTTCACCGTCATCATCAGAAAACATCGCGATGATGATGTTCACCGAAGACGATGATGATGCTGCTGACGACGATGACGCTCATGATGCTGATGCACGCCAGCATCACCATCGTCTTCGTCGTCGTTGTCATCACTATCCTCTTCCACGTCATAATCATCATCATCATCATCATCATCATCATCCTCTTCAGCAGCAGCACGATCATCACCATCATTGCCAGCAACATAGTCATCATCAGTGTTGTCGTTGTCTTCGCGCGCAACACCATCATCAACATCATCACCATCATCATCGTCATCATCTTCGTCAATGTAATCATCATCCTCATCTTTGTTTGCATGTTCATCCTCATCATCATCTTCAGCATCAGCAGCATGGTTGTAAGACACAAAGATCTGTAGCCGCAGATATAGCCGCCAATCAGGACAAGCCTATGCGGATCATTGTCCCTTCGGAGCCTATCCATGGATGGCCCAAGGCGGATGACGTATGTGGATGTAGGCCGATCTCAAGACGTTTCGGAGTAGGCTGCTATGTTGCCGCAGGTGTCATCGACATGTTGTGTCAATTGAATCCAGCGGTTCCCCCCAAACCTTCGGAACTTGCCACTTCCATCCCGAACTGCGGAGTCGCAGCAACCTTTTTATGTCTTATAACCCTAAACCCCTAAACCCCTAAACCCTAAACGTGCGGTAAGCCCCTTGATGATCATGTCAAGCTCTAAGAACACCCGAAGCCCCGAATCTTGAACCCTTAACCCTAAACCCTAAGCTGTAAACCCGAAACCCCAACCCTCAATCCTTAACCCTAAACCCCAAGCCCCAAAACTGCTTTTTCCTCAACATTCCTGAACCCTAAGCTCTGCGCTCAAACTGCGCTTTGAAAGTTGGAGTAAACCCTAAACCCTAAACCCTAAGCTGAAAAAGGGATTTGAAAGTTGGATGAAATCCTAAACCCTACGCCCTAAACC